AGTCTACCCCACCCCCTGCTAATTTGCCAACCTCCTCCACTCCTCCTACCACTCCACCCCCCACAGCTATTTCCTCCTGTACCACTATCCCCTCCCTCCTAGATTGTAAGCTCAAAACAGCGCTGAGTGAACTGTTGGCGCTTTATAAATACTGTATAATAATAATAATAATAATAATAGATGTGACTATCTGGCCAAAGGATTGTGGACACCTGACCATCACATCTACCTATAATGCCAAAAGTTTATGTACTCCACTCCAAATGATTGGGTTTGGGTGTTTCCAGTGAAGGATACATGATGTTGCCCCTGTGAACAAAGCCTACTCCATAAAGAGAAAGAAGGAAAAACATATATTTCAAAAGTATATATATATATATATATATATACAGTGAGGTCCATAAATATTGGGACATCAACACAATTCTAACATTTTTGGCTCTATACTCCACCACAATGGATTTGAAATGAAACGAACAAGATGTGCTTTAACTGCAGACTGTCAGCTTTAATTTGAGGGTATTTACATCCAAACCAGGTGAACGGTGTAGGAATGACAACAGTTTGCATATGTACCTCCCACTTGTTAAGGGACCAAAAGTAATGGGACAATTGGCTTCTCAGCTGTTCCATGGCCATGTGTGTGTTATTCCCTCATTATCCCAATTACAATGAGCAGATAAAAGGTCCAGAGTTCATTTCAAGTGTGCTATTTGCATTTGGAATCTGTTGCTGTCAACTCTCAAGATGAGATCCAAAGAGCTGTCACTATCAGTGAAGCAAGCCATCATTAGGCTGAAAAAACAAAACAAACCCATCAGAGAGATAGCAAAAATATTAGGCGTGACCAAAACAACTGTTTGGAACATTCTTAAAAAGAAGGAACGCACCGCTGAGCTCAGCAACACCAAAAGACCCGGAAGACCACGGAAAAACAACTGTGCTGGATGACCAAAGAATTCTTTCCCTGGTGAAGAAAACACCCTTCACAACAGTTGGCCAGATCAAGAACACTCTCCAGGAGGTAGGTGTATGTGTGTCAAAGTCAACAATCAAGAGAAGACTTCACCAGAGTAAATACAGAGGGTTCACCACAAGATGGAAACCATTGGTGAGCCTCAAAAACAGGAAGGCTAGATTAAAGTTTGCCAAATGATATATAAAAAAAAGCCTTCACAGTTCTGGAACAACATCCTATGGACAGATGAGACCAAGATCAACTTGTACCAGAGTGATGGGAAGAGAAGAGTATGGAGAAGGAAAGGAACTGCTCATGATCCTAAGCATACCACCTCATCAGTGAAGCATGGTGGTGGTAGTGTCATGGCGTGCGCATGTATGGCTGCCAATGGAACTGCTTCTCTTGTATTTATTGATGATGTGACTGCTGACAAAAGCAGCAGGATGAATTCTGAAGTGTTTCGGGCAATATTATCTGCTCATATTCAGCCAAATGCTTCACAACTCATTGGACGCCGCTTCACAGTGCAGATGGACAATGACCCAAAGCATACTGCAAAAGCAACCAAAGAGTTTTTTAAGGGAAAGAAGTGGAATGTTCTGCAATGGCCAAGTCAATCACCTGACCTGAATCCGATTGAGCATGCATTTCACTTGCTGAAGACAAAACTGAAGGGAAAATGCCCCAAGAACAAGCAGGAACTGAAGACAGTTGCAGTAGAGGCCTGGCAGAGCATCACCAGGGATGAAACCCAGCGTCTGGTGATGTCTATGCGTTCCAACCTTCAGGCTGTAATTGACTGCAAAGGATTTGCAACCAAGTATTAAAAAGTGAAAGTCTGATTTATGATTATTATTCTGTCCCATTACTTTTGGTCCCTTAACAAGTGGGAGGCACATATGCAAACTGTTGTAATTCCGTTCACCTGATTTGGATGTAAATACCCTCAAATTAAAGTCTGCAGTTAAAGCACATCTTGTTCGTTTCATTTCAAATCCATTGTGGTGGTGTATAGAGCCAAAAATGTTAGAATTGTGTCGATGTCCCAATATTTATGGACCTGACTGTATATGTGTGTGTCTATATATATATATATATATATATATATAATTATCATTATTATACAGGATTTATATAGCTCCAACAGTTTGCTCAGCGCTTTTACAATATAACGGGAGACAATACAGTAACAATACAGTTCAATACAAGAGGGATAGGAGGGCCCTGATCCTGGGAGCTTACAATCTAAGAGGGAGGGGCAAGTGGAACAAAGGTAATAACTGTGGGGGATGGACTGGTAGGAGGAATAGAAGATTCCATTATTAGCTGAGGACAGGATAGTCTTCCCTGATTTTTTCAGAGATCGCCTGAAAGTGAGCAGAGTAGGAGATATACAGACGTACCTTGGTTTACGAACGCCTCAGTTAACGTAATTTTCGGTTTACGAATGAAAATCCATTGCAAATATTTTCTCGGTTTACAATTTTTTTTCGCAATACGAACGAATTAATTCACACAGAGCATCAAATCCTACCTAAATTCAAAAGTTCAAATATCGAAGTTCATTTAAACACACAAAAAAATCAAAACAGATTTAATCAAAATATATCAAAAGCACACCCATCCCCAATCTATTAAATGTAGAGCAGTGTTGTTCCCTACATGTGCACCCCTGACCTGTTCTGAATCAGACTAACTGACCATCCTGCATTGACTAGTATCAATAAATAGTGCCAACAGTTTGTGTGGAGATGGGATCGCCTAAAGGTGGGCAGAGTAGGTGATAGTCAGACAAATTGTGGTAGGGAGTACCAGAAGATGGGAGAGGCTCTGGAGAACTGTTGGAGATGAGCATAGGAGGCATACAAGGGAGCTAGAGAGCAAGAATCATATATTTGAAATACTACAATGTATGTTGAAATGCATTTTTATTACAAAGTATATGAAAAATATTCTTAAAAATACATTTTCAAATATACTGTATGTCTTTAACACTACAAATCTATATTTTTTTGAATGCATTTACAAACATGTAAAAATATATGTTAAAATTACTTTTTTATATATTAAAAAAATCTGAAGAATATATTTAAAAAATATTATTCATATATTTAGTAATATATTAAAAACCTGCATTTCAACATGCAATATATATATATATATATATATATATATATATATATATATAGTTCTCTCTCTCTCTGTGTGTGTCTCTCTCTCTCTCTCTCTCTATATATATATATATATTGCATGTTGAAATGCATTTTTTATATATTACTAAATATATTAAAAATATTTTTAAAAATATATATTTTTCAAATATATTCTGCAGATTTTTTTTAACATATAAAAAAAGTAATTTTAACATATATTTATACATATATTTGTAAACACATTCCAAAAATTTAGATTTGTATTTTTAAAGACGTACAGTAAATTTGAAATGTATTTTTAAAAAATATTTTTCATATATTTTGTAATAAAAATGCATTTCAACATACAGTGTGTGTATGTGTATATATATATATATATATATATATATATACATACATACATTTAGTAAAGTATATTTTGAAATATATTGAATACGGACAAAATTGTAGTATTTCAAATATATGCCAATTTATTCGGGTAGAATATGTTTAAAATATATTTCAAATAAATTTTTCTTCCATATGGGAAGAAATACAATAATAATATTCTCAGTTCTGCACTAGTTGCCTATAGGCTTCCATCACACAGACTTAGGCTCCATGCACACGAGCCTAACCTGACCCCTGGCCATGGGAAACCGCAAATCATGGCAAAATGCAGTTTTGCCACGTTTTGCATTTTCCCATGGTCGTGGTCGGCGGTCAGGTTAGGCTCGTGTGCATTTGAGCGTTTAGGTGAGGTTAAACCTCCCTCTCCTGAACGCGGAAGAATCACATTCAGGAGAGGGAGGTTTAACCTCACCTAAATGCTGCAGCTCCTAAACTCTGCTAAAAGCAACTTAGATTGTACACCTCTTGAGAGTTAGGGACTGATGTGAATGTACAATCAGGGGCAGACTGACCATTTGGAAACTCGGGCACTGCGCGAGGGCCCGGGGTCAGTAGGGGGCCCATGAGATGCCCCTTGTACCTTTTTCATAGGCTTTTTTGAGTTTAGGCAAGGACACAGGGGCCCCATGATCCCCTTTTGCCCGGGGGCCCCATGAGTTGTCAGTCCGCCCCCTGTGTACAATATATATGTAAAGCGCTACGTAAATTGACTGCACTATACAAGTACCTATAATAATAATAATAATAATAATAAAAGCCTGTGTGTACATGGACAAATAGGCTTTTATTGAGTTGAGTTTAGGAGCTTTGGCAAAAAAATGTCAAAAGCTCCTCGACTCAAGTTTAGCAGTTGCTCGTGTACATGGAGCTTACTTATGGTTAAATGGGAAGCACTCACAGTTAACTATAAACTAATGACCTGTAAGGGCTTTAAAAGCACCTCTTGTAGATAATTTAGGTACTGTAGTTTGTTGCTGTTTCATGGGCGTGCACAAGACTTGACATGTTTGGTATCTATTTACTTGATGCAACTTTACCTTTTATATATCACCCAATAATGGGGTCGTATATTGTGTTTGTGCACACTTAAATTAACTTTAGTTACTAAATTAACTTTTCTTAATTTCTTAATTAATCTAAATTAACTTTTTTACTAAAAATATTGGCTTTATAAACAGTTGTCCTAATAATGTGGAGCATATAGGATTACAACTAACACTGTGTTATTCTCCAGGGTCTTGCTTTTAAAAAATATATAATTTGGGAGGTTTTAACTAATCTCCAAGCCTAAAATTTATATTTTGAAATATGTGTAAAAAAAAAATAACAGTTCTGGGAGCGAATGCGTTTTGGGTATGCGCTGCCAAATTACTATCCAATGGAGATAATTTTAGCTGTATTAATTGTAATAACAAATGATATTCCATTGGCTAGATTTAAGAGTTCAGCAGATTGTCACACTTTCCTGCACAACTATTTCTCAGGAGTTCTTCTGTCTTTCAGCTCACAGCTATAGCGTGTCTGTGTACACTGGAGATATCTATGGCGCAGGAACGGATGCCAACGTGTTCTTCACCATTTTCGGGGACCTCGGCGACACCGGAGAGCGCAAACTCAGCAAATCTGAGACCAACAAGAACAAGTTTGAGAGAGGGCAGGTGGGAATCTCTTTACTTTTAACCATTAGCCGCCCGGCCTATAGCCGTTTGGCAGCATCAAAAACGCTTTAGATTTCCGGGTGCACGCCATTTGACGTGCACCCGCACATGCGCAGTTCGCGTGGTTGCAGAGCCGCGCAGCGGCGCGATCTGTCAACGGCCGTGTACCTCGGACACGGCCGATGACAGATCTGAGTACCGGCCCCCGTTGCCAGTACCATGTGACCTGCTGTGACTAATCACAGCAGGTCACATGACAGTTGTATACAATGGATGGCTTTATTCATGCCATCCATTGTATACTAGTGCCTAGCTGTGAATGGTCACAGCAGGTCACATGCACATGTCATGTGATTAGCTGTGGCCAAATCACAGCTAAGCACAAAAAAAAAAAAAAAAAAATCGATTTCATTCAGGTAAATGCTTGCTTATAGCAAAGTAATTCTTTGTTATAAGCAAATTGTGTAAAAAAAAAAAAAAAAATACTGATCACTTCCCCAAAGTAGTACAATGTTACTATGGTAACATTGTACTACTTTGGTCATAGTAAAATATGAAAAAAAAATCTTAAAAAAAAAAAAAAAAATGTAATAAAAAATTAAAAATAATAAAAATATATATATATATATATATTTTTTTTTTTTTTTCATACTGTCACCAGTCAGTGTCCCTGTTCACCGCCATGCCAGTTATATGATGACGCTGTACTGCACTGGTGACAGTATGTAAAAAAAAAATAGTGAAAATAATTTTTTTAATTTTTTCATTTTCCGAACAATTATGACAAAAAAATACAACTTCAAAAGACTCGCCATTCCTCTTGTAAAATATGTTGGACTGTCTACTCTGCAAAAAGGGGTCATTTGGGGGATATCTGTACTATTCTGACATTCTTGGCCCTCAAGAAATTAGATTGGCCGTCAGTACTTCAGGATTGATCAATTTTCAGATCTATACCATAGTTTGTGAACTCTATAACTTTCCTACAAACTAAATAATACATCCTAATTTGGGTTATTTTCACCAAAGACATGTAGCAGAGTACATCTCGGCCTAAATTTATGAAGAACAATTATTTATTTGTAAACTTTTATAACAGAAAAAAAGAAAAACGTGTTTTGTTTTCAAAATTTTTGGTCTTTTTTTGTTAATTTAGCAAAAAATAAAAACCCCGGCGGTGATTAAATACCACCAAAAGAAAGCTCTAGTTGTGTGAAGAAAATGATAAAATTCTAGTTTGGGTACAATGTTGTATGACCGCGCAATTGTCATTCAAAGTGTGAGAGCGCTGAAACGTGAAAAATGGCCTGGGCAGGAAGGTGTAAAATTGCATGGTATTGAAATGGTTAAAGATCTGTGCCTTGCATGTTTAAGAGCTCATGTACACTGCAGCTGATAAAACTCACGTTCAGGAGCTGTTCAGCGGTTTTTTCAGCAGCCCCTGAACTCTCCCTAATGTTTTCCTATTATTATTATTACATCGAGTTTATATAGCGCCAAAGGGTTTGCTCAGCGCTGTACAATAGGGGGGACAATACATGGCACAGTACAACAAAAACAGACAGCGTACGAGGGGTAAGAGGGCCCTACTCTTTCAAGCTTACAATCTAGGAGGGAGGGGGTAGTGGAACAATAGGAAGTGGCTGAGGGGGATGAAGTGGCTGAGGGGGATGAAGTGGTGGGAGGAATGAGGGAGGATGGCCGTTAGGTGAGGGTGGGGGTAGGCTTCCCTGAAGAGATGGGTTTTGAGGGAGCGCCTGAATGTGGGGAGGGAAGGCGACAGTCGGATGGATTGGGGCAGTGAGTTCCAGAGGATAGGGGAGGACCTGGAGAAGTCCTGCAGTCGTGCATGGGAGGAGGAGACCAGGGAGCAGGATAGAAGGAGGTCCTGTGAGGAGCGAAGGGTACGGGTAGGGTGGTACTTGGGGATCAGGTTGGTGAGGTAGTCAGGGGCAGTGTTATGAACGGCTTTGTAGGTCAGGATTAGAAGTTTAAATTTGATGCGTTGGGCAATCGGGAGCCAGTGGAGGGAGAGGCAGAGGGGGGTGGCAGAGGTGGAGCGGGGTGGTGAGGTGGATGAGTCTGGCCGCTGAGTTCAGGATGGTCTGGAGCAGGGAGAGCCTGCACTTGGGTAGGCCGGTAAGAAGAGAGTTGCAGTAGTCAAGGCGTGAGATGATGAGGGAGTGTACAAGAAGTTTGGTGGTGTCTGGGGTAAGGAAGGCACGTATCTTGGCAATATTGCGGAGATGGAGCCTGCAGGTGTTTGTAAGTGATTTGACATGAGGCAGGAAGGAGAGGTTCGAGTCAAGAATGACGCCAAGGACTTCGGCTTGCGGGGCGGGAATGATAGTGGTGTTGGTGGTGGTGATGGATAGGATGGGGGGGGGTGTGGGGCAGGGGGAAAGACGAGGAGTTCGGTTTCGGTTTTCCTATGTGTCCATGTACACATTTTCATTTACAGTCATTTACAGGCAGTTGAGTTTACAGTCGTTTTTTTTGAACACAGCAAACTTGCGTTCAGACGTCGATTTTTATCAGCGTTTCAAATGCAAAGTGCTTGTAAATGTGGCTAAATGTGGCAAATCGCGTCTATTAGCATTTGCGTTTGAAATTTTTTTGTAAACTCTTCCAGTTCCCAATGCTGTCCAGAACCTTTTGTCATTATGAAATATGCATACAAAGAGTTTTCAAGGTACTCAGATGAACAAAACACTGAACACAGGATGTTCCTACCAAGCTTGTCACCAGTGGCGTCCCGAGGCAGGTGCTGGGGGTGTGGTCCGCAACGGGTGACGCCGACTGCACGGGGGTGACACCGGACCCTCTCCACAAAAAAGTAAGTTGTAAAGCAAGCTAACGATCGGATCCATCCTGCGGGGATTGTCGGGATGCAACCTATACGGGGTGACACCGGACTCGCTCCAAGAAAAGGTAAGTTGTAAAGAAAGCCGACGATCCCCGCAGAATGGATCGGATCTGTGGATTGAGCAAAATGGATCGGAATCCTATCCATTATGCTCAATCCGCAGATTCGATCCATTCTGCGGGGTTCATTGGAAGGGGGTGTCACCAAGTGTTACCGCATCGGGTGACACCAACCCTAGGGATGCCTCCTGTGGGGATCGTCGGGATGCAACCCATATGAGGTGACACCGGACCTGTTCCAAGAAAAGGTAAGTTGTAAATAAAGCCAAAGATCCCCGCAGAATGGATCGGATCTGCGGATTGAGCATAAGGGATCGGAGTCCGATCCATTGTGCTCAATGCACAGATTCGATGCATTCTGCGGGGATCGTAGGAGGGGATGTCACCAAGTGTTACCACCCGGGTGACACCAACCCTAGGGAGGCCTCTGCTTGTCACACATGGTAATGACCAATTCACACCTCAGACCTCTCCCACCCTTGGAAACAAAAGATATGTTAATGACCATTCACACCTCAAAGTCCTCATGAAGACCCCCTGCCAGGTGACCTTAATGACTCCCCCCACCAGACACCTTTCCCACCCTTGGAAACAAAAGAAAAATGTTAATGAGCAACTCACACCTCAGCTAATCTCAGCACATACTGCTGTCTCTGCTTCTACTCTTTGTATTTCTCTGAGACAGTCTGAAATAGTTAATCATTTACCACTTTTCAGTGCATTTGGGAGCTTCTCCTGTGCTTATCTTTAAAAAACGCTTCTAAACGCAAACACACATAAACACGCTATGCAAACGCGGCTAAACAGACGTTTTTTTAATCTACGTTTTCCAGCAGTCAGAAACATCTCTTGTACATGGGGTCTTAGAGATTTAGTTTTGGGTGATGTGGCCTTGAAGGCTTTAAAGCTACTCCAAGCGATTAGATGGACATACCTCAGCCATCAAAGTAAAAGCAGGCTATACACCATTTTTTTGTTTTTTTTCTTTTGTCCAGTCAGCAGGCTGAATTAAAAAAAAAACAAAAACGAACAGATTCCTTCATCCGCATAAAAGAGGTAGACTGAGGTATCCCAGCTGCTGGTACATTGTATTCTGACAACGCCACCTGTAGCTGTAAGAATACACCGATCAGCAGCTGCAGCTGATTGGTTGAGACCACCGATCGAGGAAAATATAAAAAATCAATCAATCGAAATTGACTCAATAATGAAAGTAAGAATGTTCTGACAAATGCTTTTTCATAATTTCCATACGAATGTTAAGGGCTCCTGTACACGGGGTGTTCGGCAAACTCTTTTGAATGATGGAAACTGACTGCTGGAAAACGTAGGTTAAAAATGTCAGTTTAGCCGTGTTTGCATACCGCGTTTATGTGCGTTTGCGTTTAGAAGCGTTTTTAAAAGATAACCTCAGGAGACCTTCCCAAATGCCCAGAATGCGCTGAAAAATAGTGTATAATTAACTATTTCATACATTTTGAGAGAAATAGAGAGAGCAGAAGCAGAGAGAGCAGTATGTGTTGAGATGACCTGTCTTTTCTGGTTGTATTCACTATGGATCCCATCATGAGCATAATGCGGCACGTTTTACCATTTGTTCCTTCACACGCAAAACCTGGAACTGACTGCGCTGGTGTACCGGGTCCATTTGAATACATGGAAAACGCTTTGCATGCATTTCTGATGATGAAAAAAAAAAGGCTCTGGGCAGCATCTGGAACAGTTAAAAACGCAAATGCTTATAAACGTGGTTAAACGTGTTTACATGCGTTTGAAATGCCGGTAAAAATCTACTCCTGAATGCAAGTTTGGTGCATTAAAAAAAAAACATTGTAAACTCAACTGCCTGTAAATGAAGATGTGTACATGGACACATAGGAAAACATTAGGGAGAGTTCAGGGGCTGCTGAAAAAAAACGGTGAACAGCTCCTGAACGTCAGTTTAGGAGCTGCAGTGTACATGGAGCCTTAACCTCTTCACGCCGGCCGCACACAATGTGCCTGAACACCGAGCAGCCGCACATTTGTGTGCAATTAAGAAAAACATATGTGCTGAGAGCGCACACCCTGCATGCTCCCAGCACACATGTCCGGTACTCACGGAAAGGTCCAGATCTCCTCTTTCAATCGGGACCTTTTCCGATCATGTGACCGCAGTGACGGCGAATCACAGCGGTCACATGACCCTAAAACCCCGCCCTGCCTCCCATCTTCTGAAACCTGTAATGGGCCGGGAGGCGCCGGCGCCAAGGGGTTAAACAAAAATCTAACCATGTATGGCCAGCTTTGGTCTCACTCCTGTTCAGAAACCCTTTGTATGCTCTTTATCTGTCACTACCTGCATCCTTACAAAGCGGCAGAGCACGGTCTGTCACGGTATGCGTTTTTTTGTCTCTTTTTTTTACTATTTACTGGAGATTGCAAAATCAGGCTCACTTCTGTATAGAAACCAATCAGCTTCCAGGTTTTACTGCCAAAACTTAATTGAACAAGCTGGGGTTAGAAGCTGATTGTTTTCTATGCAGAAGTGAGCCTGATTTTGCACTCTCCGGCTTTAGTAAATTTTATTTTATTTATTTCAGGTACTTATATAGCAATACGCTATTTACGCAGCGCTTTATTTTTATTTATTATTATAGGTACTTCTATAGCGCCGTCAATTTCCGCAGTGCTTTACATATATATTGTACATTCACATCAGTCCCTAACCCTCAAGGGGAGTACAATCTAAGGTCCCTAACTCACATTCATACATACACATACTAGGGGCAATTTAGACAGGATCCAATTCACCTACCAGCATGTCTTTGGAGTGTGGGAGGAAACTGGAGTACCCGGAGGAAACCCACGCAGTCACAGGGAGAACATGCAGACTCCAAGTAGGTGGTTGGGATTCGAATCAATGACCCTAGTGCTTTACACATATAGTGTACATTCACATCAGTCCCTAACCCTCATGGAGTGTTTAATCTAAGATCCCTAACTCACATTCATACATACACATACTAGGGCCAATTTAGACAGGAGACCATTAACCTGCCAGCATGGCTTTGGAGTGTAGGAGGAAACCGGAGTACCTAGAGGAAACCCACACAGGCACAGGGAGAACATGCAAACTCCAGGTAGATTTTGCTGTAGTTGAGATTCCAACCAACGACCCTAGTACTGCCAGACAGAAGTGATAACCATTTAGCCACTGTGCTGCCCAAATGCCTATAAATGAGTGCCTATGTATAGTATGTCAATATACACTGCTCAAAAAAAGTAAAGGAACACTTTTTAATCCGAGTATAGCATCAAGTCAGTTAAACTCCTGGTATATTGGTCTGGTCAGTTAGGTAGCAGACGGGGTTGTTCCTCAATTTCAGCTGCTTTGGTGTTAATGAAATTAACAGCAGGTGCACTAGATGGGCAACAATGAAACGACACCCAAAACAGGAATGGTTTTACAGGTGGCGGCCACTGACATTTTTTCCTACTCATCTTTTCTGACTAATTTTGCATTTAGCTAGTGTCAGTGTCACTACTGGTAGCATGAGGCAATACCTGGACCCTACAGAGGTGGCACAGTCAGTCCATGCCTTCCAGGATGGCACATCAATACGTTCCATTGCCAGAAGGTTTGCTGTGTCTCCCAGCACAGTCTCATGGAGGAGATTCCAGGAGACAGGCAGTTACTCTAGGAGAGCTGGTCAGGGCTGTAGAAGGTCCTTAACCCACCAGCAGGACTGGTATCTGCTCCTTTGTGCAAGGAGGAACAGGTTGAGCACTGCCAAAGCCCTACAAAATGACCTCCAGCAGGCCACTGGTGTGAATGTCTCTGACCAATCAGAAACAGACTTGATGAGGGTGTCCTCAGGGCCCGACGTCCTCTAGTGGGCCCTGTGCTTACTGCCTGGCATCATAGAGCTTGATTGGCATTTGCCATTGAACACCAGAATTGGCAGGTCCACCACTGGTGCCCTGTGCTTCTCACAGATGAGAGCAGGTTCACCCTGAGCACATGTGACAGACGTGAAAGGGTCTGGAGAAGTCGTGGAGAACGTTATCCTGCCTATAACATCGTTCAGCATGACCATTTTGGTGGTGGGTCAGTGATGGTCTGGGGAAGCATATCCATGTAGGGATGCACAGACCTCTACAGGCTAGACAATGACCCCCCCCACTTGCATTAGGTATTGGGATTAAATCCTTGGACCCATTGTCAGACCCTACGCTGGTGCACTGGGTCCTGGGTTCCTTCTGGTGCACGACAATGCCCGGCCTCATGTGTAGAGAGTATGCAGGCAGTTCCTGGAGGATGAAGGAATTGATACCATTGAATGGCCCCCACGCTTTCCAGATCTAAATCCAATAGAACACCTCTGGGATATCATGTTTCGGTCCATCCGACACCGCCAGGTTGCACCTCAGGCTGTCCGGGAGCTCAGTGATGCCCTGGTCCAGATCTGGGAGGAAATACCCCAGGACACCATCCGTCATCTCATTAGGAGCCTCCTCCGATGTTGTCAGACATGCATACAAGCACGTGGGGGCCATACAAACTACTGAGGACCATTCTGAGTTGCTGCAATTAAATTTCAGCAAAATGGACTCGCCTGCTGCATAATTTTTTCACTTTGATTTTCGGGGTGTCTTTGAATTCAGTCCTTTGTAGGTTGATAATTTTCATTTCTATCAAAAGATGGGGCATCCTTACGTTCCTAACACATTACCCCATCCATATCAGCATAGAGATCCAGCAGGAGATTCTTTCCCATTGAGATCTGATGTGTTTTCAGAGTGTTCCTTTAATTTTTTTGAGCAGTGTATATGTATATAGAAGAGCAGCTGTATTTGATCATAACATATGCAGGCTCTGCTCTCTGCTTTGAGTTTGTTGGTTTTGCGTTCACTGTTTTTCACAACGGATTCCAGGTATTAGGTAGTTTGTGGTACCTGGCACCTGAAGCAGGACACTTAGTCCTAAATGTTTAAAAATGGCTGATAGGTTTGCCTTAGATTGATGAATGGTCAGCTTGTTGGGTGATATCAGTTAGTCATCACTATAGTCCAGTGTTTCTCAACTCCAGTCCTCATGGACCCCCAACAGGTCATGTTTTCAGGATTTCCCTCAGATGAAACAGCTGTGGTAATTACTAAGGCAGTGAAACTGATCAAATCACCGGTGCAAAATAATGGAAATCCTGAAAACATGACCTGTTGGGGGTCCATGAGGACTGGAGTTGAGAAACACTGCTATAGTCCAACTTCAGGCTCACCAGGCCTCCTTTATTCACCATTTCTACCAATTGAAGGACCTTGTCAACTTGTCTTGACTTTTGTCAAGTTTCAAGTGTGATGTCACAGGTTCTCTTCATGTTCTTCCTTCAGTGGTTTGCAGGTCCTAACTGCTGCAGAGTGCAGCACCACGCCGTTATGTAGCACTGATCTCTGCCGCATTCTCCAGTAAGTCCAGGGATGGATGCAAAGTCATGACTCCCTGGGCATACAATAAGTGGTTTGAATGAAGCTGGGTGTCATTTATCCTGGAAGAGGCCTGGTGCTGGATCAGTGGCCAAGTGAGCCTTCAGGGGACAGCACTAGAAAGCGGGTGGGAATAGCCACCAGAGCTAAAATTTTATTTTAAAAGCATGCTGACTATACTGTTAATATGTTTAGTAAAGCTAACCTTTGTTGATTGAAGGCAAGCAGCTTGGTTGATTCATCCACCAACTTTCCTAAAAGACTTCACAGTTCCACCCAGTTAACAGTAGGCATCTATACTATGGTATCATAAACTGTGAGGGGCATAAAAGTGGTTTTATTTGGAACCTGTTTTCTGTAAGGCCAACTTTGGACCTGTGTTCCTCCATACTGTTTGCCTGCTTCATTAAAGGGTCTTACTGTGGAAGAGTTAGATGTGTTAGGCTGAACTGTCTCGTAAATTCTCCTTTCCCCAGCTGTGCAAATTCTCTTCGTTCTCCTGCTGATCTTTTCGGCCACAAAGAGTGAAGCTATCGGCAAGTTCCAACTGTGAGGCTGAGAAATGTCTTCCTGTTACCATGTGACATTGCTGGACCAGTTACCAGGTTTTAAGTTCTGTCACATGCTCACAAATACCTGAAAGTACCTGGTATTTCCCTTAAAAAACATACGAGCCTTAAGGGAAGGGCAGTTAAGTGAAGAAAAGCACGGATTCACTTGAAGTTGTATAAGTGTAAGGCTTAATATTAGTCTTCTAAAATACCCTGCCTGACGTTCTTTACTTGACTCCTTTATCACGTACAATTTTACAGACTTCCAGTGCTCTTTAATTGTGATTATATTTTACAGGTGGATAAATTTTACATTGAGGCTGTGGACCTGGGTACCATTTTCAAGATTAAGATCCGACATGATAACAGCATGCTGAACCCAGATTGGTATTTGGAGAGGGTGGAAATCCTGAATGAGGTGACCGAGGAGACGTATATGTTCCTTTGTGAGCGGTGGCTTTCCACCAAGAAAGAGGACAAGAGGATCGATAGGATTTTTTATGAAAAGGTATTTGATCATAGAGTGCTAAACTGTACTTATGTAATGTATTTACACCTACAGTTGTGTTCAAAATAATAAGTGTGTTGAAAAAAAGTGAATAAAGCTCAAAATCCTTCTAATAGCTTTTATTTCCATCCACACAAATGCATTGGGAACACGACACATTCTATTCCAAATCAAAACATGAAGAAAAATAGATCAAATTTGTGTTGTTCCTCTAAAAACATTGAGAAAAGTGAATATTAGACGGTTCAAAAAAATAGCAGTGTTTGTATTCTTCTTTACAAACTCAAACATTCACTATATAAACTGAAAAATGTTTGAAGATTTTGCTTTCCTTTGAATCACTTCATGAATATTTAGTTGTATAAGCACTGTTTCTGAGAACTGCTGTACATCTGTGTTGCATGGAGTCACCCAACTTCTGTCCCCTGTGATCAGGTATTCCAGCCCAGGATGATTGGACGACATTCCACAGTTCTTCTCTATTTCTTGGTTTTGCCTCAGAAACTGCATTTTTGATGTCACCCCACAAGTTTTCTATTGGATTAAGATCCGGGGATTGGGCTGGTCACTCCATAACGTCAATCTCGTTGGTCTGGAACCAAGATGTTGCACGTTTACTGGTGTGTTTGGGGTCGTTGTCTTGTTGGAACACCCATTTCAAGGGCATTTCCTCTTCAGCATAAGGCAGCATGACCTCTTCAAGTATTCTGATGTATTCAAACTGATCCATGATCCCTGGTATGCGATAAATAGGCCCAACACCGTAGTATGAGAAACATCCCCATATCATGATGCTTGCACCACCATGCTTCACTGTCTTCACCGTGTACTGTGGCTTGAATTCAGTGTTTGGGGGTCATCAGACAAACTGTCTCCGACCACTAGACCCAAAAAGAACAATCTTACTTTCATCAGTTCAGTCCACAAAATGTTGCGCCATTTCTCTTTAGGCCAGTCAATGTGCTCTTTGGCAAATTGTAACCTCTTCAGCACATGTCTTTTTTCCAACAGTGGGACTTTGCGGGGGCTTCTTGCAGATAGCTTGGCTTCACATAGGCGTCTTCTATTTGTAACAGTCCTCACAGGGAACTTTACACCTTCTTTCATCTTCCTGGAGCTGATTGTTGGCTGAGTCCGCGCCATTTTGGCAATTCTTTTATCCATTCGAATGGTAGTTTCTCATCTCTTTCTTCCACGTCTTTCAAGGTTTTGGTTGCCATTTTAAAGCATTTGCGATCATTTTAGCTGAGCAGCCTATCATTTTCTGCACTTCTTTATATGTTTTCCCTTCTCCAATCAACTTTTTAATCAAGGTACGCTGTTCTTCTGAACAATGTCTGGAACGACCCATTTTCCTCAGAATTTCAGAGAGAAATGCACTGTAACCAGCATGTACAACATTTGCTGCCTTCCTTCCTTAAATAAGGGCAATAATTGCCACCTGTTTTTCAAAGAATGAATGACCTCACTAATAGAACTCCACACTGCTATTATTTTGAACATGCCCCTTTCAATGAGTGATTCAATGACACAGAATCAGCAGCATGCATGTCATGACTGTTGGGTCTGTTGGATTTCTATTACTCTACTACACCTGCTAGGAAATTATTTGCCATGTAGAAATATAATTTCTACCAAAAACAGCGATTGATCCGGTTAGTGATGTCTGACTGCTATTATTTTGAACACAACTGTATATTATAGTGCCCCCCTCCTCTAGTCTTATACTCACCTTTCCCCAATGCAGTGAGATGTCAGCTGTGCAGCTTGTCAGTGCCACCAGCTGCTTGTCAAAATTTTCCCCATGGAGATTACAAACTCTCCAAAGAATTTCTTTCATTCAGCCAACAGGCTATAGCTTTCTAAACAGTGTGGATGGAGAATTCTTTCCTGCTAACTACTGTTTTGTGACAGCCAACACCTGCACCAGATTGAAGTGAAAGGTGAATGGGTGAAAGGTTTTCGACAGGGCCATCCACAACTCATCAAGAACCAGTCAAAATTTGCTTTGTGTATGGCCAGCCTAAGACTGGCTATGGGGGGTAGGGGCACTGTAACATACCGGTAAGTGCAACTATAGGTAATAGTTCTAATTTGGGGCCCAAGTAATAGTCTTTTGAGGGGATGAGCTGAGCTGAGTAAATATTAACTTGTGGTTACATCTGGGCCTGACCAACAGGATCCTTTGGCTTATAGCATTAATGAACTTGCCAACACAATGCTTCTCCCATTGGCCACATGCAGCCCTTTGCTTCCAGCATCAGGGGTGCTATTCCTCCCACTGATATGGGGTACTATTCCCCACACTGACACCAACGATGAGGCATTATTCCTTCCACTGACACCAATAATAGGGCACTATTCATTTCACTGACACCAACAATAGAGTATAATTTCTCCCACTGATCTAAATGATAGAACACTATCTCTCCCAGAGAGGTGTTCTCAGAGAGGGGTGGAACTGTTGCAAGCCTTTTTTGCCCCTAAAGTCTCCCGGCAGAAGTCACAAAATTGCATAGAAGAATAGTAAAAATGAGAACCTTATTGGGGACGAGTACGAATATACCTGTATACTAAAAGAAAAGTTTTAGGAAATCTAAACAGGCATGAAGAGTAGATCAGCAAAAAGGGGGGGCTCAACCGACTCCCCAACCGAGTGCAAATGCCAGCACAATTAAAAAATACATTCACCGTCAGGAGAATAGTCCAGAAAAGTGAACCATACAACAAGAAAGAATTAGAGATTCAGATGGAGATCAATCTAGACTGTCAATTGGGGAACAAGATTAACGAATAGATAAGTGTGGACAGTGTCATGGTACATAATGTCATGGAACATCAAGAAGCTTTGTCACAACTACCTACAAAAAATGAGATAGCAGAAATGTTCGCAAAACTGGAGATATCATGAAAAATTAGATGGGGCACTCCGCAATGATTTGGGCTGAATACTAATGCGAGTGGAAGAAGTAGAGGAGACTATGTCGGCACAAGCTTAATTAATTAATAAATTAGAAACGCAGGTGGAGTAGATGCGTAGAGAACAGAGAAAGTTCTCATTTAAACTGGAAGACCAAGAGAACCGTGACAGAAGATGTAACCTAAGGATTCGGGGTCTACCAGAAGAAGAGCAAGCAGAGGAGCTACATGATAAAATTAAGAGAGCGTTCAATCTATTAATGGGAAGATCAGTGACAGATCCCCTGAAAATTGAGAGAGTACACAGGATTAGACGGCAACAAGGAGTGCCGGCGGAAATCCCCAGAGATGTGATAGTTCGTTTTCATCACTACGAAGAAAGAGAAAAAATTTTGAAAAGTCTGCGTATTACCTCCGAAATAAAATATGAGGAAACATCTTTGTTGACATTTGCAACAGAGACTTTAGCTAGAAGAAGATCTTTGAGACCGTTCCTAGAACAGATGAGAGAAAAAAAAGTTCAATATAACTGGGGCTTTCCAGCATGCCTGATTAGATGGAAAGATGGGAAATCTGCAAGGCTGAGGTTCCCACAAGACTTTAGTGACTTTTGCAAAAAACTAGACTTACAGAAAATGGACCTTGAAGGGAGGTCAGTGATGCCCCCAGAGAGGGTAAGGCGGGGGACAGGAAAGTGGCAGCAGGAATCTAAGAAGAAACAGTAGGTAGATGAGGGGGGAGGGCAGGGGGGTGGATGGTTTGTGGGGGGAGGCCGGGGGGAAGGGAGAGGAAGAGTATTCCTTATTTTTTGAATGGGGAAAGAACAAAAAGCGCACAGGCCTAGTGCATTACCATAAAAAAATGTTTAAAAAAAATAAAGTAGGTGTTGTACTCACAAACGACAATATAGTCAGGCTCAGGGCTCTGAGGAAGAGGCAAGTCCTCGAAACGCGTCAGATTTTTGGATGTCTAAACTCCCTATTGTGGACTGTTGTCAGCGCGGTGTTGATCCAGCTGTTCTTCTATGATGTGGACTATATTGGTCGTTTGTGAGTACAACACCTACTTTATTTTTTATTAAACATTTTTTATGGTAATGCACTAGGCCTGTGCGCCCTTTTTTGTTCTTTCCCCATTCAGTATATTTGGATTCCCTCTCGCGACAAAATCCCCCGGTCCATTGAGGGCAGCAAGGTGTGCATGTTCCAGGACATTCTTAATGTGGTTGTAGCATCGAGTCCATCCCCAAGCGCAGGAGCATTTGTGTTTGCTGGTTCTTTATTCCTTATTTTTTCCCTGAGCCTGGGGTTTTTTTTTTATCCCTCCCTCTCGCGACACCGCATCCCCGGTCCTCCTCTGGGCTGCGCTGTAGCTCCTTCCCCTTCGATCTTCTTCCTCCCCGGCTGAGACGGTGGGGGGAGGAGGGGCAAAGTGGACATGGGTAGCCTGGAGACCAAACATGTGGTCAAACTCTGAAATAACCAATGTCACGAGCTAGGGATCAGAGTGGGCGTACGTGTTTTGAGTCTCACCTCAAAATAGGAATCGCGAGTGGAAATACTCCACGACAGATTCAAGGGCAACATGTAGTAATCGAACAAAATAAAGACGGTGATGGAGGGGCTCTATAAGTTAGAACAGCCACATAAAAAGAAGACAGGTACAGACATATATCATAAGATCATTTGTAAAAGAACTAACAGATCTTATGGAAACAAGAGTTGAGAAGGATGCTCAACAGGGTCTCAAAAGAAAAATATCAGTGGGGAAATAGACCTGGAAAATATTTAATGAGGAGGTTAAAGGAAAAGAAATCTAAAAACTTTATAGAAAAAATGGAAAATGGAAAAGAAGAAATGGTGTACGCCACCACTGATATCACCAACAGGTTCCAAAAATATTACAGCAGGTTGTATGATGTGAGCCCCAGAAATAAAAAGAAACAGAGGAGGAAAGGAAGAGAAATAGGCAGAAATACTTAAATGAGGTGGATATGCCAAGAATAGCAGAAGAAAAAATTAGAGGCCTTACAAAGAACTATCACCCCGGAGGAAATCACCTTAGCCCTAAAAAATACGGCC